AGACTGCGATAACGTCTCTAGACTCAACATCCGGTGTTACCGTGACATGCACAAGTGTCGTCATCAGCAACTTCCATTCAGGGGTGTCCAGAACGTATGAATTCTTGCTCAGAAACAAGAAATTGCGAAAATTCTCCTTTGGTGTCAGTGCAAAAATTTTAACATGTTTTATACAATCTGTAAATTACAATATCTGATTCTATATTCTTTCGAGAAAAAAACAGCGTTTATTTCGTTCGATTATCACAGAAATAGCAGAAATAGGAGCAAAATTAGTAAGTGACTACAATTTTCACGAATCTCAAATAGCGGCCATTTAAAGAACTCCGTACCGTTGCCACAACCTAAGTTTAAAGGGCCGTAGGATAAAGGTTAAAGACTTACGTGAGCCTTGAAGCAAACTGCCAATATGACACTTGTGTATCATCTGTACATGTATCAAACGTGTACAAAACACATGTGCATATAATGGTGTAACTATATACAACACATATACAAACACCAGAAGGGCCAAACTGATGCTGATAACAAAATAGATGACATAAAATAAATGAAAATAAAACAAAGTGAAATAAATCAGCTTGTGTAAGATTTGAGGCTTTCACGGCGGTGACTATGAAGAAAGCAGTCTTCCAGGATTTGGCACCGTGTATATGTGGTGTTAACCGACGTTTCGGAGGAACGTATCGCCTCCATCTTCAGGGTAGAAGAAAAAATAAGAAATCTGCAAGCAGACAGTCTGCTTTTACCGGTTCTCATGGTCTCTTTGCTTGCAGATTCCTTATTTTTTCTTCTACCCTGAAGATGGAGGCGATACGTTCCTCCGAAACGTCAGTTAACACCACATATACATGGTGCCAAATCCCAGAAGACTGCTTTCTTCAAATCAGCTTGTGTTAACAACCTATGAGCTGGACTGAAATAAAACTTAAAAAAAAAAAAAATCTTGTGCATAGTAAACATACCTCAATTTATGAAAAATGTCCAATATAAATGCACAAGCTACAATTTCATGCAGGTCTGAAGAAAAAATTTGAGATGGTTGATGAGGAAACAAACAGATACAAATTACGGCAAATAAAAGATGCATTTACCATTAATGTGTCCATAAAGCTTTAATGATTACTTCTATGAACACTAATTCACAAAACATGTAAAAAAAAAACAACAAAAAATACTTCTGACATAGAACATAAGTAAAGGACAGGGCAACATCAACATACCAGCATAAAACGTTCCTTAACACTTGATAGATATGTTCCTAGGGACACAACAATAGTCTCCACTCTGCGTTTATGGGTAAAAACTGCTACATCAGGAGACGCTTCGTTACGAAGTTCAACATGTGATATCATCAAATTTCTCACCACCTGCAAAAGATTTATAATATCACTGTTGCCAATATACCATAATCAAGTGATGAACTAAGACACTGCACCCCTTTTCTAAAAATCCCAGTCTTCTACATCAGTCATAGATTCTCACATTTCCTTAGTTCTCAGTACTTCTGGATCCATACTTATAAAAATTTGATTACAATAAAATGAAATTAACTCACAGTTTCTCCTTCAATTTCAAAAGCCAGTTCATCATTGGAGTCAATATCACGTTCTTCATTTACCCTATCACTAATAGCTCCTTCATCCGCATCACACAAGGAATTATATATTTTTGTCTTTCAAGCCAGTAGGGGCAGGTTTGCTGGAACATGATGCCATGCCACTAACACATGACACCCCACAATATATAAATGGCATTCGTTCCTCAAGATGTTCAAACCATGACTTCCAGATGGCAGAAAAAACATTCATGAATTCAATGGCATAGTATACAGTGGCAAGTAGCAACATATGACCAAAGAAATGCGAAAGAAAATTTGTTGATCATATGTTGGCATTTGCCTGTGAAAGCACTGTCACCATGTCAATTATATATCTACACATGAGTGGAAAGGGTAGAGTGAAAGGTGGCTGCATGGTGTTAGGAAAAATCAGTACAATTGTGGACCACTTTCTGCACAAATTTTACGGGGCTGCAGTGTTCTAATATATTGTGACATGTTGCGCTATGGAGGACACCCCACTTCCTCCCCAGTGGTGATGTGGCATGAGAGCACTGTCGTTACTACGGTAACAAGCAAGTCAACACTCCTTCCCCTACCCTGCCAGCGGTGACGTAACACTTTCGGAGCGTTGCCATTGCTAGAGTTAATAGGCCAGTCAACACCCCTTTCCCTGCGGTGATGTAACACGGGACGCCACAGTTGCTACATAGCCATAAACAACTCCTGGCAGCGAAGCCCAGCAATGCCGGTAAACATGCGACTACGCAACAAGGAAGCAAGGCGTTTTCCCATTGTCCACCTGAGGGTTTATAAGGGAACTAAACTGCCTACGAAGTCAGCTGAAATGTAGCAGCCGCAGAAGACAGTTGGAATCTAGCCAGCAGTGAGCAGTTAGGAGTGAGTGAGTGATCAGCAGCCGCCGAAGACAGCCGAAATGTAGCCGTCGCTGGAGACAGTTGAGTTGGAAGTCGCCGAATTCAGTTGTAGTGGAAAGAAGAATATCGGAATGTGTGATTAGAAGTGATAGTGTGAGCAGCAGATGCTTGGTTCACACGAGAAGTAATTGGGAGTGTGTAACACACTGACACTTGCATAGCTCCCGTATCGTACTGTGAATACATGTAGACTACTGAGGACAGTGTGAAGAGATTTGTGTGTAGGGTTTGTAAATTGTGTAAACCCATAACAGTGTCATAAGTAATTGTAGCCAAGACTTGTAGGTTGTTAAATAAACCAATTAACAAACCGACTGGCGTCTTCAGTAGCTAAACACACTACAATATGTTAAAAAAACTGTAAAACCCGATACTTCTGCTGGTTTGTTAACTTTCTTTTGACAAGGCCCCATGTTATACAAACCTGCTTAACAGCCTGCATGTCACTTCCTGGGGTTGCTGACAGAGCCAACACACGGAACTTGTTGTTGAATGGCCACAAAGCCTTCATCACCTGAAACATATAGTTATCACCTCCACTGGATCACAAATTATACTGTGCCACACTCTTCTTATCATCACAGAACCCTATGCTGACAAGTTACTATTGTGTCAGCACTCCATTGCGAAGACAACAATTTATGGACTTTCCAGAATCAGTTTGCTCAGCTAAATGAATACTTTAAATATTGACTCAGTTCTTGGATTGTTACAGCATTTCAATGTGAGTGATGATGATATTTCAGAGGTACAACTGACTCCATCTTCAGGGTTGAAGAGAGAGAATTGGTGGTTGTGCAGACATCCCTTTTCAGGGCTAAGGAAATGCATTAAAATACTGTTGGCAACTGATATTCTCTAGTGATCACTCATCTAAGTGATCATCAGGCAAACTGTTCCTGAAGTTACACCATCATCCATGGCATGATGCTTAATTAAGCACAGATATAATTTCATCTTTAATTTTTCCCCTTACAATAGATGTATTATGTTGATATGGGAATTACTGCAACAATTTTCAAGCATTTAATTTTAAATATTATTTAAACTCCATATAAATATTTTCATAACACATGACAAGATACTAATGGATTAGTATTTCTGTTTAAAAACTTCAGCAAGAAAGTCTGTGAAGAGGCCTGTTTTTCAGTCTACTACCTACAAAATCTGAAGATAATACAAATTCTTGCATGACCACCAAAATATTTTAAAACTACCTCGCACAACTAGATAGAAAACTGGGTGCTAAGAGTTGCAAAATCTTGCTTTCATTGATCAGTGTGCTTCCCATCTGAAGAACACATTTCTCCCAGCTAACTTTACCACCCCACCACAGCCTTTATATTTGGGAATCATCCATGTATTCAAATGCCATTACATCAGGAAGCTGATTTTGAAGACTGCAGCAACATTAAATGGGGGACTGCTCAAAGATGCTGCACAGATGAAGTTGGATGTATTGTTGGCAAGTCACTTAACAGCAGAACCCTGGAGACTGAAAACACCTACTACAATCAAGAACAGCTTTATAAAGTATGGTTTCTTAATTGGTAATTTCAGCAATCATGATGACAGTTCAGTGAAACTCAGTGAAGATGAAAAGGATGACCCGTACAGTTTACAACCTACGCGAATGCAGTCTGAGGCTACACACAATGTAACAGTGCTCTTGAGGTTTGTGGAATCCTTGAGTGTTGACCACATGTTAGATCAACATTTGACTAGACCAGAATAAGAACCAGAAGAGGAAGAGGAAATTGCAGAACATAAAGAAACATTCTTGGATGCACTGAAATATCTGGCAGCGGCCAGAAAGCACATGTCAATATGATATCTAGAACAATATTATTTCAATGTGCAACAAAGTTGAAAATGAACCACAGAGTAAGGAACTCAAGGGGGGGGGGAGGCTGACTGGTTGATGAAACAGTGTAACTAGGTATGTACCATATTTTCTAGTCATTTCAGACAAATATTGGGATAATGCCTTGAAACACTTGCATCCACACCTTTTCCAATCACCAGTCATAATCACCATCACATCTTACTGATGTTACATATAATACAGAAACTGATAAAGCATTGCAAAATAAACTAAGATCCACATTTTCATCTACATTTACACTGTCAGTGTTTAAACGGTATATTTTAAATGGTTTTCTGAAGTTATGGTATCAAGAAGACAGTTTCCTCGATTTTATATTTCTTTTAAGTCGCCCCTTAATAAGTGCAAAATTGAGGTTTCACTGTAATTATGAGTACTGTAATAGTTGTTGTGTGCTCTAACTGCTGATCATCTCAAGACACTTCCATTATGTATCGTCACAAGTGTATTTATTCTCTAATACAGACACTATCTTCCCCTAATAATATAGTAACATGAGCAGAAGTTGGTAGGGGAACAGGAAGGATGAACCCTGGGCAGGAATTACTGTGGGTACATGCAATGACAGTGTTGCACTTTGCACATCATAGAATAACCAGAAGAAATTATTAATTCTTCCTCAGCAGGATGACACTTTTAACTGCAGAAGTTATGCAGTGTCAAATAATCAAACAATCTGGATAATGAAACCTGGGAAACTGCTGCAAGAAGCTGGAGAACCAGCAGAAAGTAATGATTGGTTGTTTAGTACAAAAGAAATAAAACCTTTCAACCAAAGTGAGACTTCTGTATACCCCTGAAGGTTGTGCACACAACTGTAAGGTTTGCTAGAGAGATGAAGAGTGCAAAATCAATATTACAGTAATTTATAAAACCGGATACTCATAATATCAAAAAATTATTAAAATAAACAAGTACAAGACCATTTCTTAACTTCCAATTATGTATAATACAATATGGCATTAAGGTTTGATAAAAAATGCAGTGCAGAAACAATTCTTCCTCTTTGAAGACATACCAGGGAGATAAGAAAAAAATGAATAATTCATTCTCTGAACCAAAGGTTTAAGAATTTCTTAAACTTATATAACCTCTTCTACTTGCTCCCAACTGCTAATTAAGACCTGTCCATTACAAGATGTCCCACCTGCTGTATTCTGCATGCTAGCAAAGTCCCACCTGCAATTCACCCATAATTCACTCCATGTACACATATGAGAATAAATGCACTGACTTCTATTCAATACCAGTATTAACCAATAATAGACATAACACATGATGCAATTTATTTTAAAGTCAGTTATTTAAAAGCACTGAAAATATCAAGACTATAAACCGCTGATGATTAAATAATTAACAAATGTGGAGCAGCTGGTGGAAAGAGATCTGGCAGGAAAAATTAAGTATTTGGAGAGAACCCGCCTCAGTGACATTCTGTCTGCCATAGATACAACCTAACTGCTGAAACCTTGGGATGCAATTTGCAGAGAACATCCGGACCAACTGGCAAGATGGGTACTGTTTCATCATGACAATGCCAAACGCCATACAGCCTGAGCAAAGCAGGAGAGAATTCAAGTACAGTGGGAACTTCTCAAACATCTGCCTTACAGCCTGGACTTGCCCTCTAGTGACTTCCATTTGGTCTGCTAAAAAACCACCTTGGTGGCAAATATTTTGCTGATGATGAAGAGGCTGAAACAGAGGTGTGGAAGTGGCTGAGACAACAGTCAAGACTTCTATGCTGTGAGTTTCAGTGCACTGGTAAAGCAATGGGACAAGTTGGTTGATATGTCAATATATAAATGTCTTTTCCAAGTTTGAATATAATATGTTTTACATTTTATATAGATTTGTGACCCATTTACTCTCTCCCTCTCATAATATATGTGTATAATGTGTGTGGTAATACTAACTTGACAATATGAATGGTTCCCCAGAGCCTTGTGAGCCTCATCAACCACAACACACTTAATGCTAGCAGCTGGACACTGTCCACAAGTTAAATCATTTGTCAAAACTTGTGGTGTCAAAAAGAAGACACGCTTCATCTCCCAGGCAACAGCTCGCTCTCCAGGAGACATGGAACCTGCACACATTTCAAAATACCTACATTTTCATGGATTTCTTTTTCACATTTTCATTCAGATTGAAAAATGAACTTACTGACGTGATCCACCAGGAAATTCCTGTAAATACAGACATTAACACTGTCATTACATTTATTAGTCACAACTTCAATTACAAGGGCTAGGCCATCTAAAAACTGATGACCAGGAATGAAGAAATCTGTCAGTCACAACTCAAAATATAAATGCTTTATCATGTGTTTACTACTATGTTTATCACAAATAATGCAACCCTGTCTCACAATTGAGACTTCATTTTTCAATACAATGGCTTCATGAAAATTAGTCTGTAAACAACACAAATGAAAGAAGGATATGTTTGTAAACACTGAAAATATCATTCAACAAAGAGCATGGCTCTAAAGTACCCGAGAGGGAGGGCAAACATATTCAGTGATATGAAAGAAAATTTTACATGGAGAAAGTACCTACTGTATTCCTTAAAGTAATGTGTAAGAATATGTGTTTCTCAAAAATTGTTAGGATAATGGAGGAGGAGGATGAGATGGGTCAGGCATGTAGCACACATGAACAAAGAGAAATGCATATAAAATTAAGCTAGCAAATCATTAGGAACACCTACTTGTAGCTGACAGAATAACATCAACATGAATCTTTAACTTCGCAGGGTGTGAGGGTGCAGGCTACTTTCACCTAGCTCAGGATAGGGACCACTAGTGTACTGCAGTGAATATGGTTATGAACCTTCAACTTTCTTGAACACCAGAACTACTATTAGCTTCTCAAGACCTCCACTCTATGGATTTCCTTATATTAATATTACCCTGTGTGAACATATGCTGTAATACTCTTTCTTTATATCCTAACACAGTTTGTTTTTTCTAATTTTTCCTCTGAATATCAGTTTGTGCACTTTCATTAACATATTCACTTACCAAGTACCAAACTGAATTAAATAATCAAAATGTAAGTCAGTGAACAACCTTGAACTGAACACCCAAATAATAATAATGCTTCATCTTAATTAACCATAATCCTAAAAGTGTAATATAATATAAAATGGTAATTTCCTAAAACATTACTATAATTCAGTTAAACTTCACTAACTTAATGAAGACTCAAACACAGAGCAATAATCAGTATGATTCATGTTTCAAAAGAGAACAGTATGGAACACAGAGATCAGCCAATCTCTTCAGCTTATTCTGCAATTTACATGCCCCTTTAGCTTCTGCCTTGTGCCACAAGCCATTTTCCAATCTTCAACCAGGAAGGTCTCATGTGCCATCTCGCCTGAGTTTTCCTGTCCAGTCACAGATCTCCTTGAATACCTCCCTGCTGAAGAGACTTCTGTTGCAACATGAGCCCTCTCCCTCTCTCACTGGAGATCATGTCCTATGTGGACATGTCTTCCTTTCTTTCTTGAAGTTATCTTTTGGTACAGTGTGTGTTACTTTGATTAAATTATGTTTCGTGACTATCTAAAGCTCTGGCAGAGCCTGTGTGTATGTGTAAGTAAGATACATGTTTTCTTGGTTATATTCAGCAGGACTGTCATGGCACTTTTTATATTTCTGGCCTTACTGCTGTAATGTGGGGCATGTGTTAATGTAGTTGGTCGAGGCCCTATGCTACAAGCTGGAAGGTTGCAGGTTCAAGTCCTGATGAGGCCACTGGATTTTTTTCAATTGACCCAATCCTTCAAGCCGCACTATGGTCCTGGGGTCAACTCAGCCTCTAACAGAAATGAGTACAAGGAATCTTTCTGGGGGTAAAGGTCAGCTGGCGCATAAGGCTGACATCACTGCAATATGGATTTTTTTCAATTGACCCAATCCTTCAAGCCGCACTATGGTCCTGGGGTCAACTCAGCCTCTAACAGAAATGAGTACAAGGAATCTTTCTGGGGGTAAAGGTCAGCTGGCGCGTAAGGCTCACATCACTGCAATATGTGAGCCTAGAAAATGTGGGAACCTCAACATCTCACAACCCTATGGGCCTCCACGGACTGTTACAGGGATACCTTTTTTACTTTACTGCTGTAATGCATATTTGAGGACACAGTCATGCCTATGTCATTTTCGGTACTTGTTTTTGCAATATGCATGCTCATAACTCCTTCCCTTTGGTATTTCAGCCTTTGTAATGTTATGCATATAAGCTATGCATGGCTTGGTTTTGCTGACATAGCCAAGTCTCTGACATGCATTTTGCAAGTGACTTCTGTCACGTGTCATGTAACTCTGTATGACTGATGGTTGATACCTTTTTCACATCTCTGATTTGGCATTATTCTGCTGGAGTTTCAAGTTCTTTTCCTATCAGTAACCAAATTCTGTTTTCTCATTCACCTAAGTTATATAACATTTGTCTTAATTTGACTCATGCTTACTCAATTTGTAGAGTTGTTACCCAACCCCTGTCAGAGTAAATTTGCCTTAACCTGTGATTTATTCTCATTCTGTTATGCCTGTCAGTGCTCGAGGTGAACATCTGTAATATTATTACCACACTTGTTAAGCTCGATACCCCTGTCCACTTTGTGAAGTGTGTGTGCATACTTCAACAGTGAGAAAATGGTATCCTGAGCTCATCGAAGGTGCCTCACAATTGCTTCTTCTCATCATATCCAATCAATAAAAACAATTAACTCTGTCCTGAATATTCATTCTGTGGGTATATTTAAAAGGCAATCCATGAAATGACTACGATTACCTGTCATCTCAGCTGTATCTTCCTTTGGTATACCCATTACTTTGTAGCATGCTTCAATCTGCTGATGTACTAGTGGTTTAGTGGGTGCCATAAAAATTACCTTCCCTCGTGGAAACCAGCGATAGAAGTTGTACATCACCACAGCAGCAATGAAAGTTTTACCAAGACCTATGAGAAACAAAGAGAAAAGACTTGTTCCTAAAATCTAATAGTACTTCCTGTTATTTAACAATATCTAATAAATTGTTTTCTAAACTACAATGAAATATCGTTACTACATACACAAAGGGATTAAAAACAGAGAATTTGTACTAATGACATTTTTCATTACCAAAAAGAAATTTTGGAAGACCTCTGGAACAATAGAAGAATTCTACTTTTTAATATTCATAATAGATCGCAGTAGTCCTAAAAGTGGAAAAAAGGAGGAGGCAGGCGGTAGCAGTGATGGTCATTATCATGGGTCTGTGAAGGCTGGTAACAATGGATGATCTGATTTTGATGGGCATCATTTAGTGTCACATGGATACTTGATGAATGCATTTCAAGTGATGAACTTCTGCAGGTAAATGCACATTCAACCACCAAAGCATCAAACATAGCAATTTATAATTAATACATTAATATAAAGAGAAAAATTCAAATATTGCCTCAGTTATGATCCTTTGAAAGAAAACCTCACCTTCCTGAGTTCAGTGCAGTCCTGAGACCTCACAATTTGAACTTGATATAGTTTCAAAACCTCACTCTCAATCCCATTTTCTGCAAATCTTGGCAAGAAATCATTTCATTCAACATCACTGCCGTGTACATCAGTACATATCAGATGCACCTGTTAGGTAGTATGTTTTGTTACAACACTAAATATGTGTATTCACTTCTAACCTGTGGGCAAGCTGACTAATGTGTTCTTGAACAAACAGCTGCTGACAATGTCATACTGGTACTGTCTTAAAGGATAATTTGTGGGGTATATCCAACTGCGTCCAGCTGAAAGATCAAAGCCTTCTGCATCTTTTCCTTTGTACAAAAGTGGCTGTGATGGAGAATGCATCTGAAGTTTCACTGCACTGAAACATAAATTTTAGTAACTGTTACTATGAGGGATATCTGGATAGTAAAGATACAAGTCCAGTAAAAATGCGAGAATTCTTTTATAAAAAATGGCAGTGCTGTCATGTGAGATAGGAACTGTATGATAGGGCTGATTTCACTGGTCACGGTCACAGCAACGCTGTGCTCGCAGTGTATGTTTAAAATGGCCGTGTCAATTCCAAAATCCCACCAAATGTGATATTTGTGCAGTAATTCAATTTCTTCATGTAAAAAGAGAAACAGCTGCTGAAATTCATCGCCAACTTGTTTCTGTTTACAGTGAAGATGCGATGAACAGGCAAAACGTGGCAAATGGTATCATGAACCTGAAGCAGAAAGAAGTGATGTTCATGATGAAATAAAGAGTGGAAGGCCATCTGTTGTGACTCATGAAATCATCCCAAAAATTGATGAAAACATTCATGCTGAGACATTTAACCATCAATGAACTTCATCAACAATGTCCAGAAGTGTCAAGAACTGTTCTCCATGGCTAAGAAAGCAAGTGGGATATTTCTATGATGGTGGAATAAAAAAACTCATTCCCAGGCTCATTAAGTGCACTGCAATCCATGGGGACTGTTGAGAAGTAAATAAAGGTGTGTTGTAAGAGTGCTACAAGTGAATCCAAAAACAATTCTTTACAAATATTTTCTGGACTTTGTATCTTTACTTTCCGTATATCCTTCGTACAATTGGGCTCTTCTGACCCAAAGCTTTAGAATTCTTTCTCAATGTGAAGTTATAAGGTGTAGCCCTGTAGGCAACTGCTCATATTTTCTTTAGGAAACAACAGATGACTCTTAAAGACACGTCGTGTCCCTCTCTCTCTGTCCACATACAACTTCTGTGGCCACAAAAGAATACAATGATAGTGTTCTAGTCGGGAGATAAAAACTAAAGAATGATGTGCATGATGAGCATGACAAATGAACAGCGAAGTGCAGTGCAGTGGTCTCCCCGAAAAACAAAAGAAAAATTACCTGATGATGGCCCATATGCGGCTGAAACATGCTGTAAATTGAAAAGAAACTTATGTAAAACTAGAGACATTTTAGTACTGTGCTTTTAGTGTTTAAGTTTTACTTTTAGTGTCTTAATGATACTGTGACGCGTTACCTTATGTCCATCACCGTGACAACTGCTACAATCGGAACGGACACTTCCACGACAATGAATACATGGAAATTGTGGAGTTCCAGCAGCGACAAAGGTAGCAATGAATTGTCAATGAGTAACAACGGATGAAATGAGACACGTTACTGATGTAATCTATAAAGAGCGTTCCTGAAGCAATGGACTGCCAAACATGTGAGACTGAGCTTTGGCAAGGGGTGTCCTCTATTGAGACCATGTGCACCTTATATAAGGGGCCTGGCCTCGAACGGAAGTTGAAGATTGGAATATTAGAGTATTGAGAACGAGACAGTCTTGGAATAGCCGCTGCCAGAGATAGTTGAGATCCAACCACGGCCAAGGACAGCTGAGATGTCACACTGGAGTATTGGGCCAGAGGTCAAGTGATATTGCAAGCGATAATAATTCTAAGGCATGTTAAGTGTGAGTGTCCAATAAAGATTCACTAAATCCAAGACCCACGTGAAGCTATTTGTCGCGTGACATACCCAACACATGACAATATTTTATGATTTTAACAACATCAAAAAGTATTGAAGTTACACCTTTAATGATGAACATATTTTAGATCTCTTTTATATGTTAAAAATATTGTTGCATTATTGATGGGTGCTATAATAATAATCGATAATGCCTCAATGCAAAGGGATGCTGAAATATAATATTTAAATCCAAATCATGGGTAGCTGAATGCCATTTAAACAAGATGTAAATGGAGTAAAAAAGTTCACAGCAAGTGCACAGGAAGAGCTCAGAGGATAAAATAACTTTCACCAGCGCAAAACAAATATCTTCATAGTACTGTGGAAAATTTTAGAAGCCTGCATTTCTAAACACTTGTTTACACTTGCATCAGACATACCTGGAAAATGCAGCACTATCTCGACTTGTTCCTGGACTCCCAGACTCATTCTCACCATTACGACTTTCAGAATGTCTAAGTGGTATTTCCACCTCACTACAGTGCCTGCAACAGAACATGTTCCCATAATTACTATAACAAAATATAATTAGAAAACAGTAATACACTAACTCGTTTTAATTATTTCATGATTCTAGAAAATTAATAGTTTTTTCCTGCCAGTATATATGCAATAACACTCACTCAATCTGCTTCAATAAATTATTGAAATTATACTCATCCACTGTTTTATCATATTTAAAGGACTTATTATGTTATTTTTCTATGGTTTTTTATATTATTAGTCAGTTGATGTGATGTTTTTAATCTTATATATTTTTTTTATAAAAAACTGACTTGTCCAATTGTACATAATGTAACAGTTATGGATGCTAAATAAATCAATCAATCAATCAATTTGACTTGGTTCATCCTGGTCAGTCGGACTAGTATAAGTATAAAAAATTATTAACAACATAGAGTCCTATTCTTCAAACAACAGAACTACAACGTGGTATACACTCATCTTCCTTTAAAGAGAAGTATAAAGAACATGAACCAAATCGGTTCTGGATTTTAACAAGAAGTTTTTAAACCATAACTGTAAATAGACTAAAATAATTTATAAATGTTTTAACAAATTCATGCTCATCACAGTAACTGTTAAAGGATAATATTTTATATTTATGGCACTGTAATAATAGTGTCTCTAATAGTTTCCCAAGTTTTATTAACATCCACCTCAGTGTCCAAGTTTTCCAAAGCCGCAAACCTATTTGAGATTTCAACAGGATATTCCTCTTTACCCTCTACTTCATTTAATTTCTTGAGATTGAACCTCTCCATATGAACTCTGTGTGTTGTTTGTTTGCTCACTGCCAGTCTTTCCCTAACCTTTGCCACCACCAGGTAGTGGTCAGTATCACAATCTGCTGCCCCGAATGATCGGACATCAAGTATACTCAAGTGTCATCTCCTATCTATCAAAATATGGTCTATCTGATTGTGTATCTTCCCATCAGGAGATGTCCAAGTAAATTTATGGATGTTATGATCAAATTCCGGCAGAACTTATTCAAGCAGGAGGCAAAATATTATGTTCTAAGATACACAATCTAATTATTATATTTAGCACAAGGAAAAATTGCCTGATCAGTGGAAGGAGTCTATTATTGTACCAGTTCACAAGAAGGGTGATAAAACTGACTGTAGTAATTATCGGGGGATATCACTGTTATCAAATTCATATAAAATTTTGTTCAATATTCTTCTTTCAAGGTTAGGTCCATATATAGATTAAATTATTGGGGATCATCAGTGTGGGTTTCGATGTAACAGATCAACTACAGATCGGATCTTTTGCATTCGTCAGATATTGGAGAAAAAATGGGAGTACGATGAGACAGTACATCAGCTATTCATAGACTTCAAGAAAGCCTACGATTCAGTTAGGAAGGAAGTATTGTACAATATTCTGATAGAGTTTGGATACCCATGAAACTAGTTAGGCTGATTAAAATGTGTTTAAACGAAACGTTTAGTAAAGTCCGTGTAGGTAAACATTTGTCTGATAAATTTCCTATCCAAAATGGTCTAAAACAGTGGTTCCCAACCTGTGGTCCGCGGGACAGCTTATTTTCATTGAACTTTATCTTATCATGTTCCTCACACCTGGGATATTTGCAATGTATATCTCTGGCTCTTGAGGCCCATGGATGAAGTCAAATTTAACGGGACTGTTGGTACCGTTACTTCTTCCTTTTGTAAAGCAGAGGTGAATAACCAACGATTTGTTTAGCTTTTTCCAAGGACATTTTCTTTTGGTCGGCCCATTGCATCTCAGACCCGTGTTTCAGGGTGTACTGTTGTCCTCCTTACCTGCTGTCTGCCCATTCTCCCCTACCCACCAAATCCATCCCTCTTCGGCTGGGAATAAAGCTGGGACCATTGACCACGTTTTTTATTCATTTCAGTGGCAGAGTGAACAACCCATGGGTATTTGTGAAGTGAATTTTTATAATATTATACAAGTGTGTTTTTCTCGGTTTAATATTCAGTTTTTCTGCTCTTGTTCAAATAATTGCGTTCACAACGAAACTTCTGATTTTCAGTTTGTTCACGATCTTATTTAGATATGGATCGGTGGTTAAAGTGTGGATCGTTGATTAGGTGAGTGTTAAATTCATAATATTAGGCCTAACTGATATGTTCGTGATCTTCCGAATAAGCTCCATTTATAACAGTATTTTATTGTCATAAATGACACATTTAGTGTTGTAAAATTGTAAGTTACTCCTTCACTTTCATGATATGTAAAATATAAAAAATTTCCATTTTGGGTTTTATGGGGACCGTAGTCAATTAACATTCGGTACAGGGGGTCCACAGCATCAAAAAGGTTGAGAAACACTGGTCTAAAACAATGAGATGCTTTATCACCACTCCTTTTCAACTTTGCTTTAGAATATGCAATTAGGAAGGTCCAGGGAAACCAGGTGGGACTGAAATTAAACAGAACACATCAGCTGTTGGCCTATGCTGATGATGTGAATCTACTGGGTGATAATGCAGATAATATAAAGAAAAACACACAAATTTTAATGGACATAAGTAAAGAGGTTGGTCTAGAAGTAAACACAGACAAAACTAAGTATATGTTGCTGTCTCATCACCAAAAAGCAGGGCAAAATCATGACATAAAGATAGGAAACAGATGTTTTGAAAATGTGGCACAGTTCAGATATTTGAGAACAACAATAACAGATCAAAACCTGATTCAGGAGGAAATTAAGAGGAGACTGAACTCAGGTAATGCTTACTACCATTCAGTCCAAAACCTTTTGTCTTCTCCTCTGTTGTCCAAAAACATAAAAATTAGAATATACAAAATTATAATTTTGCCTGTGGTTCTGTATGGGTATGAAACTTGGTCTCTGACATTAAGGGAGGAACAGAGACTGATGGTGTTTGAGAACAGGGTATTGAGGAGAATATTTGGACTGAAGAGAGATGAAGTAACAGGATGTTGGAGAAAACTGCATAACGAGGAGCTTCATAACTCATACTCTTCTCCAAGTATAATTAGAATGATCAAGTCAAGGAGGATGAGGTGGGCAGGGCATGTAGCATGAATGGGGGGAGACAAGGAATGCATATAGGATATTGGTGGGAAAGTCAGAAGGAAAGAGACCACTGAGGAGACGAAGGCGTAGGTGGGTGGACAATGTTAAAATGGATCTTAGAGAGATAGGATGGGATGGTTTGGATTGGATTGGTCTGGCTTGAGATAGTAACCAGTGGAGAGCTCTTGTAAACACAGTACTGAACCTTTGGGTTTCATAAAATGCTGGGAATTTCCTGAGTAGCTGCAGAATTTGCCACTCCTCAAGAAGGTCTCAGTTCCATGAGTAAGTAAGTAAGTAAGTAAGTAAGTAATTTCATAAGCACCCCAAATTCAATGTGAGTATTGTACAGACATTCCCTCTTAACCAAAGCGTAGGCGTTCTTGAAGTCTATGATGGGTGACTTACTGTCTCATCATATTCATTTATTCTCCAATATTTGACAAATGCAAATATCTGATCAGCAAGTGATCTGTGAAATCAAAACCCACGCTTATGATCCCCAATACTTTAGTCTTTATATGGACCTAACCTTGAGAGGATATTGAACAAAATTTTGTATGAAGTTGATAAATGTGATATCCTAGGATAATTACTACAGTCTGTTTTATGGCCCTTCTTGTAAAGTGGTACAACAATATACTCCTACCACTTCTCAGGCAATTCTTCCTTATGGATCTGTGAATGTAATGTTTCACCTCCTGCTTGAATCAGTTCTGCTAGAATTTAATCAATGACTGGAAATTTACATTTTTTCAACTTTGCAACTGAAATTTCAACCACAAAATTCCTACATTCAGGTACTGACTGGGTTGTTGTATGTCTTCCCATCTACCTACATACATTCAACAGCTGAGAGAAGTACCTATTCCATCTATTTAAAATGTTGTGGGACCCTGCATGTGGATCATGATTCTCATCTAAGTTAGTTCTGTGTTGGTAACCCTTCTTAAATTAATTTATACCTCTATACAAGTCTCTAATATTCTTGTTCTTACTTTGTGCTACAAGCTCAATAATGTTTCTTTTCAGATATTCCCCTTTTCTCTACCTGAAGAAATTCCTACTTGCTTTATGTCTTATATTGTTCATGTTATCCCATTTGCCTTGGATCCTCTAACCACTGCAATTTGCATTCTTCCCTTTCATTTAACAGTTTTGAACATCCTTCGTTGAACTATGGCTTATGCTTGTTCAGTTCGTGATAACCTAGACTCTCTTTGGCTGAAACTTAGATTTTCTATGTTCCCCAAAACTATTACTTTTAAAAATACCTTATTTGTAAACATATGTTGTAAAGTACTTAACATTTTTATGATTAACCTTCAGCATAGCGTGACATCTTTTAGTCTGTCTCCCAGGTCTTTTATAATGCCAATTCCGTGGGCGCAACAGTTTTAATAACCATTTGGGAATTTTTGTTGCGGTTTAGTTGATTACGACACATTTTTGTTGGGGTTCTAATTCACCGCCGAATGAATGGCATGCTGGGATTCCAATAATAATATTTCTGCTACAGAGAAACTTCGTAAGTTACCTACCACCGCATTCTAAATTAATTACATCCTACCTGAGGCTTTCTTCCAGAGCTCTTGCCAACATTTCATCTTCCGCTTCGTCTTCCAACAAAATAAGATCATCGGTTGGTATACAATTATTAAAGTCATTATGGTTCATTTAGTAATGATTGTACGATATTATAATAAACGACAATTTTTTCAATTGAGTTTCCACTAACACAAACACCATTCTACACGATCATACTATCCGATACTAGCGCTGCCTTTCGTTAAAATTTGGACTTCACAATCTCACAAACCTCACAAACTTCACAATGTTCGCATTGTTCACAATTGTTCAAAATCTATGACCACCTATGATGTTCCTGAGGTTCCTGAGGCTGAGTAGAAAGTAGAAATGCAAAGGCGTAAATCTTAATGCAATTTGTTGTTATTTCTTGGCTTGCATAGTCCGGTATCGCTCATCTGGATAATCAGAAATGAAGTTAGTATTTTTTTACAGTTGCTATATGCGACTGACATTTGAAATATTTATGACATATTTTGAATGCGTTTAGAAACCTAAGACGGAAATGTTAATCTCATTTGTGATGAAATCTGTTAAAGTAAATACAGTTAAGATAAACCAAAACGTAAAGCATTCTCTGTTCGTAATTAAGGACCACGACATGAAGATGTATAAGAGGGTGGAGGTATAACTTATTTGGTAAGTGGTCAGCTTCACACTCTGTGGAAAGAAGCCCAAATATCCATTGAATGTGACGCTTAGTGGGGCCCTGGGTGGGTCTGAAAGTGGTGATGAAAGAACCATTTCTGTCCCTGCCACTAATTGACCCATGTTTCTCCAGTTCCCTAACCTGTAGCCTAATCGTCATGCCAATTGACCCACACCAGCTCTAAAACAAATTACTGGCTTAGGGATTTACAGTTTCTCCCACTTAAAAACAGGGGCCAGGGTAGCTAAGTTGGTATAGCAACTTAGGCCAATGGCTGAATGACTGAGGATATGAGGCTCAATTCTCAGCAAGGATAAGAAATTTTCTCCATGACATCCTCCTAGCCTCCTATCCAGTGGGTTCTGGGGGCCCTTTCTCAGGTTAAAGTGGTTGGGGTGTGAAGGTGACCACTTACCTCCATCTAATGGTAAGATTACGAATGAAGCTATATCTTCATGGTGTAGTGCTTACTTAATTAGATGCATGGATAACTTTACGTTATATTACTTATGCTCTATTAATAACACTGATTTAATTAAATACTCAAATCTTTTGTGATTACCTGAAATGTCTGAGCTCTGTGTGCAGTACAGTTGTATAGTAATATGGTGGAACACTGTAACGGTTGCCCTTCTGTAGTTAGTTGTTATTTAAATATATTGTCACATGTATAGGTGACTAAAGATGGGGTTCTGATTGGGAACTGGATTTATTAACAACCTACAGGTCATAACTACAATTAATTATTACACTATTGCTGCTTTACACATTTTACAGTCATTCAACACTAATCTCTTCATTCTATCTGCACTACCCTTCACAGATTTATAACACAGGATCTATAACAGTCTTACTGAATTACACACTCTGAAGATTACATATAAATAAAGTATTATAATCACACATTAAGTCTTCACAGGCTGACTTCCAATTCTTCTCCAAATATGAACTTCCCATGGCCATCTCCTACTGAGAAGTAACTTGCTTGCTTGTTCACATGCTTCTTCCACTACTACTACTTGTAATTTGTAACTGCTGTACTACTCTTCCAGCTTCCTGCTTTCTTCGTGTTTGCATGCTTCTCCCACTACTACTCACTTGTAATTTGTAACTGCTGTACTCTTCCAGCTTCCTGCTTTCATCATGTTTGCATGCTTCTCCCACTACTACTCACTTGTAATTTGTAACTGCTGTACTCTTCCAGCTTCCTGCTTTCATCATGTTTGCATGCTTCTCCCACTACTACTCACTTGTAATTTGTAACTGCCTGGAACGAATTCTGTCACATATATAACTGCGGAATGGACATGGACCTACAGTAAACACATATCACATGATCACTCTCGAGCTAGTCTATTGGTGCATCAATTGGATGTACAGAAAACACAACTTCCTCTATTGTTGCATGTTGGACGGTGTATACAGAGCTGTTGCCTGGCAACGCTGTGATCAAATCTATTACAATATGGTTCGTATTAAGCTATCCTTTCTTGTAATGTAACCTCACAGTATCCTGATGTCAAGCCAGATGATTTGAATTTCTTGGTAACACAATTCTTAATACATAAAATGTAGCAGGGAACATTGATTTTACTCCATTGTTGTGTGTTAGGTGTGGCAGACTGTTAATTATTTTCCTTATACGTGACAGGGATTGAAGAATGAATGATCATCAAGTAGCTGGTATTAAGACATATCTAGCTAATATGTCTTTGCATGCATCTCCTGAATGGGTAGAAGGCTGTGTGGAGTTTTTTGTTTCAGAGCATCGTAATCAAGGGGTAAGTCTGAAATTATACTCAATTCTTTTCAGAATTAAGTGATTTAATTAAGACTTTTAATTGGATAAAATATTTAAGCTTAATTTTAGTTCATTGTAAAAGTAAAAAGTAAAAAAAGTAAAGCTATCCCTGTAACAGGCCGTGAAGGCCCATAGGGTTGTGAGACGTTGAGGGTCCCACATTTTGTAGACAATCGGCTTAAAGATGGCAGTAAGGTTGTCAGCCTTACGCACCGGCCGCTCTTTACTCCCCAGGAAAATTATTAAATTAATTCCTGGTACTCATTTCTGTTAGAGGCTGAGTAAACCCCAGGGCCTAGTGCGGCTGGAAGGATTAGATCAATTGGAAAAAATCCAATGACCTCGTCGGGACTTGAACACACGACCTTCCAGCTTGTAGCATAGCCCCTCAACCAACTATGCTACTGCATGCCCCCTTAATTTTAGTTCATTGTACTCTTGTGAAACTCTCATGAAATAAAATATATAAATTGAGTTCATTTCTTGAAAAATCAGAGACCATGAAAATGATTAATGTCTCATTACCTTTGAAATACATATTTAGAAGACTGTACTAGGGAAACAGTAAAGGTAAAAGGAAGGTAAAGTTGTCCGTGAGCTGAACTAATTAAGCACTACGCCATGAAGGCATATGGGGGAGTAGATATATAAATCCATGTTTTCTTGATCTCAGCACCATTTGGAGGTGAGTGGTCAACTTCATGCCCCGGTTGCTTTACCCCCAGAGAAAGAGTCCCTGGTACCTATTGAATTGAATGGGTGGATCCCAGAGCTGGTCTGGAGGAGATCAAGAAGTGAAAATTCTTGACCCTACCTGGACTCGAACTTTGACCCCTTGGTTGTCCAACTTGTAGCCAGTCACTATACTGACTGCACTATCCTGGCTCCTGACTAACAAAACAGTAGTTTAAATAAATCATGAACTTGTTTAAAGTAATGTAGATTGAGAATGTTTGAAAGTGAAATGATGAGAAATATATATGAACGTAAGTGGGAGGTAAGAGGACAGAGAAAATTGCATAATTAATAGCTTTATAATTCATAACCTGCTGTTGTTTGGATGATTAGATCAAGGAGTATGAGATAAGTAAGGAATGTAATTTGTTCGGGGGAAATGGGGAAAAAAATGAAGAATTGTAATTGGAAAACCAAGTCAATTGAGCATTTTGGAGAAGCATGTGTAGAACAGGAGAATAATATTTAAGTGGATCTTAGTCCAGACTGTATTGAACTGGTGGAGGATAGGTTCTAGTGTGGTCTGTATTGAACTGGTGGAGGATAGGTTCCACTGTTGGGCGCTTGTAAACAGAGAGTCAGTGAGATTTCAAGTTTTATAGAAGCAGAACTTTCTTTACCAGCTTAGTATTTCTCAATTTTTCAAGAAAGAGAATGCACTATGGATGTAATTACGTACTTACTTACTCACTCATGGAGCTGAGCCCTTCTGGAGGAGCTGCCAATTCTACAGCTAGTCAAGAATTTAACAGCATTTTAAGGAACCTGAAGGTTCATTACCGTGATCAGAAGAGCCCTCCACTGGTCCATATCCTGAGCCAGATCAATCCAATTCAATCCAATCCATACCATCCCATTCCATCCTATCTCTCTATGATCCATTTTAATATTGTCCACCCACCTATGCCTTGTTATCCCTGTGGTCTCTTTCCTTCTGGCTTTCCCCCCAGTACCCTACATGCATTTCTCTTCTCCCCAATTCATGATACATGCCCTGTCCATCTCATCCTCCTTTACTTGATAATTCTAATTATACTTGGAGAAGAATACAAGTTCCGAAGATACTCATTATGCAGTTTTCTCCAACCTCCTGTCACTTCATCCCTCTTCAGTCCAAATAGTCTCCTTAACACCCAGTTCTCAAACACCCTCAGTCTATGTTCCTCCCTTAATGTCAGAGACCAAGTTTCACACCCACAGGCAAAATTATACTTTTGTATATTCTAATTTTTATGTTTTTGGACAGCAGACGAGAAGACGAAAGGTTCTGGACTGAATGGTAGTAAGCATTACCTGAGTTCATTCTCCTCTTAATTTCCTCCTGATCAGGTTTTGATCTGTTATTGTCGTTCCCAAATATCTGAACTGTGCCACATTTTCAAAACATCTGTTTCTTATCTTTATGTCATGATTTTGCCCTGCTTTTTGGTGTTGAGACAGCAA